ATTAAATATAATCTGAATTCATATTCAGAATATGCTAAAATCTTGGCCCAGGAAGTTCAGCATATTCTAAATATGAGTTTAGATCATATTTATTCATTCATTTTTTGGATCTGATCCCTTTTTCTATTGTAAGTTTGTTTTATGCATATGATGGATGTACAATTCCATCACCAAACTTAGAAATTGAGAGCAAATATATTGGGGGAACACTGGTTTTGGTGTATTCTGCAGTTTTTATTGCCTACACTCAAAATATCCCAAAGAGGTCTAAAAATATATAATTTACCCATGGATACCTGTGGATAGTCCGGGTAGTTACCCGAATCCGTCAGTTGAGCCCAAATATGGGTGGATTTTGGGTTTACCTGGGATTAGCCTATCTGTGACAGTCCCTAATTAGAAGCACCCTTAGGTTACAGTACTGCTGAGTTGGGCGGAGTTCCCATGGCTGTGGGTAGTAGCAGCTGCTAATGTTTCCATATTTGAAAACATTAGCAGCTGCTACCAAAATAATTCCGAGAATGGAAACATTAGCAGCTGCTATGATTTCTGTATTTGGATGCTGCCATGTATGGTATATAGTTCCCACGCCCCTGTCTTGTCCTGTACTTTGTATTTTCGACATTTTTAACATCTTCCCCTCCCACAACATTGTGTGCAGCATCATTTCCTGTGATAATCAAAAATATCATTTATCAACTGTAATTTCAGCTTGGGGAACATCTAAAGTAACTGCACACATGTAATCTGGCAGAGACTAGATCTCAATGCAAAGGAGTTAAAGCTCTCAAATTCAAACCCTGAGCTTCACAAGCATATTGCAATAAACTCTACCAGTGGCCCAGCCCTCATCATCAGGAAAGCAACTAATTACCAGCCATTACACTGATCAAAACCAAGCAATGCTCTATAATATGCCTTTTCTACCTGAAAATATTTCAGTTGCAGGACCAAGTGTATTGCCTGGTGAGAATAATAACTCAGGGTAGACACACATGCTGGATACCCAACAGAAAAATAAAAAATCTACACAGGATTAGTAACACCTGATCCACTTGCCAAAATCAAAATTTTGAAAGCAATCATGTGCCTTCAGATGAGATCTTTTTTTTATGGTATACCAGAGATGTTACATTTCTCTAGAGTGTAATGTGTTACAAGTGTACTAATATCATCTTTAAAAATGAGTGGGAAATTTGAGCTAAAGTGTCACAGATATAAAACTATTACAATCCACAGATAAATTGTATATATCCATTTAAGTTCTTTGAAATCAAACCAGATGAAGGTCAACCTATTGAGAAATTCTAATTTCAAAATTTATCTCTGAATCCTCTGTGACAGTCCATAGTATAAAATATGCAGCAAGGAAATGTTGGAAGTGTGAAAAAAAAGGATGTGGAGGTTGAATTAACAAGGATCAGTGCACAAATTCCTGTGGTTCATGTGGTTCAAAACAATATGAAGGAAAGGATAGCAGACACCCCTTTTATTCTTGTGAATTTCTTTTGAGGGTTGAGAATGCTACCAAATCTATGTACATACTTTGATTCTTCGCCATCAGAAGTATCATGAAAAGGTGGTATAACAATTAATGTCATGCTCACATGTTGGTGGCCACTGTAAGTGTGGTAATTTTCTGGAATTTTTACCAAGAGAAAGGTTACTATAAGTCAGGAAATCCCTCCTTTTTCTCTTTTTCTCTTTCCTTTTTGGGAATTTTTCTCTCTTTCCTTTTATACTCCCACAACCATGATAACCGGGCCATCAGGCTCAGCTGCGACACACTCCACACACGTGATGATGGGCCGTGCAACCTCACGCGTCACCCATCACATGTCACACTTTCCTCCTCAGCGCACCCTATCTCAGCATGAACGACAATGGCGCAGAACGTCAAGGGAAAGGGATACACCCAGGTGAGTACCCCTGCCAGCTCATCCAGCTAATTGACTACCACATCAGGTCAGTGAGCGCCACCCAGGACCGTGAA